ATGAGATCCTTCCACATCGTCTCCGTCAGGCTGATGTACCTGTCAGTCTTTACTGCGGCAACAACAGTATCCTTTTTGGCGCTCTGCATATAGAGGACAAAAACACAAAGAACCGCTACATGCCGAGGGATGCGTTCGTAAAAGTAACGGGGTAAGACATGGGTTGAAGCGAATGTCGTGAACGCGTTGAGCATTTCGTTTCTGTGCGACCAGCTATGATAGAAGTCCGGACGCTTGACCCCGGCGGTCGGGGCATTGACCTGGCGTTGAATAGCTCCCAAGCTACTCAGATGCTTGCCGCACTGCCGTGAGTTTCGTTCTCCAAACTTGCGCTACATGATGGTGAGGCAAGCGACCTGATTATGTTCATGGCTTCTGCTCTTGAGACTCAGGCTCCGGTGTTGATTCGACGCCTTCCATGCCCCCCGTATCCTTGCTTCTCGAGAATGGACCGCCTTCAGTAGTCGTGGGCGTCCCAAGCTTATCTGTTGGATACTTCTCCAGGTCTTTGTGGCTTGTCGAAAACGTCGATATGACAGGCGTGTAGTTCTGCGGATGATCGGCCTGAGTAGGCGTCTTCGCTTCAGGCCCGGCCGAAATCGGGCTGAGTAGGCTCTCGGGTCCATTGTTTGCCTCAGGAGGCAGCAGTTCAGGCTGTGACTGTATGGCACCAACGAGACCATTCCAACCTCCTTCAATATCGCGCAGGAGGCGGACATATTCTTCGGGCACAAGTCCGCTTTCGCCGGTCTTCGGATCTTGAGCTACCAGCCAGCCCTGGCCGTGTCTGTATGATACCAGTATCACTTGCCCTTCTACCAGCGGTAGCTCGTTATCGTTCTCGCGTGCGAAGTCGAACAGGGCAACGGCCTTGCCGTGCATCTCCTCATCGGGCGACGCGATTGTGAATTGGTAGTCGCGCGAGAAGCGATTATCATCGTGTATGTAGTCCTCGGGTTCTGACATTTCATCGTCGGAGTCGTAAGGCGGGCCTTCGACGTCTCCGTCGGCATCCGCGTAGGCGCGTTGAGGGAGGGTGGTTGCGAAATGTGAGTCTCGCCGTGATGCTCCTTCTGGCACACCGAGCCGCGACGACTCGGGCGGGTATGTGATGTACTCGCCGCCAGGTCCGTTTGCAGCCTCATCGCTGACAAATTGGCTGCTCTCGCCGTTCATCGTCACTATCGAGCCGCGCCGTTGCTCCTCCGGATATCCTCTTCGCCCGCGAGTGTGATCGAAGTTGACTATGTTAGATTTGTGCTTCTTGTGTCGTGCGCCGTGGTGGCTGGTGACCACCGGGCTTGAGATGTCGTCATCTTCGCTGTAAGGCGGACCTCCGTCGTATGCTGTCTGCGGGAGTTGTTCGCCGTCTTTTTCATCCCAAGGCCCCGCGGACCAGCCACCTCGGTCGCTGCGCCATGCCACGGGTGGCGGATCTGATAGTCTACGGCTATGTTCACTCGCTGGAGTTGAGATGTCGGAAGGCTGCTCCGGAAGCGGGCCGTAGAAAAGAGGGTGTAGCGGGTCATATGCGAAATCGCGCACGAGCGAGTAAGGCAGACTCGAGTGGAAGATGGGGAAGGCGGTCGATTGCGGCCTTGACCGTGCTGATTGGTGTGTGTTGGATGCGTTGGAGAAGGTGGATAGGCGCTTGTTCATGTAGGAACTTGCGCGCTCCAGCTTCGCTTTGGAAGGCGGGGAAGTAACGAGTGGGGGCAGAGATGTGCGATTCACGCCCACTTGTGCGGACGCACCAGCATCGCTCCTTGGGGATAACACGTCGGCAGCCATGTCTCGCTCGCTGTGTTTTTCTTGGACAGCCACTCCTTCTGTTATGTCCTTCAGCCGGTGCGGGTCGGCGGCCGTCTCTGATGCTGAATTGGTGTCTGTCATGCGCGGTAGAGGGACTTTGTGCAGGTTGTCTGGGTCTTCGGTGGTAAGCTATATGGGGATTTCCAGCGCGGTAGAGGGCAGTGTGGGTGGCAGAGCCGGTTCGCGACAGAAGTCAGCTTTCAGTAGTCAGGCAAGAGTCCGCAGCAGCAGCAGCAAAACGGGCTCCAAGTGGCCAGCGCACAAGGCGCACAAGCAGCTTTCGAATCAGAGCGAGCCGGTACGTCTGGAGCGGCTCTGGAATGGCAACGGCAGATGGCGCAGTGACTCGATGTTTGTATCGGATGTTTCACAGTCAACGATGACCAATGGGCCGGCGGGCGCGCTTGAGGCCTTCTGGAAGGACGGCGTCGGCTGTGCAGATGCGCCTGGCGATTGGGAGGGGGAGCGGCGGGCGTGAAGATATTTCCACTGTAGAGCGGCTGGAGAAGCGCTCGCTGGGGGTTCAGGCCTGGCGCTAACACTCGCCCAGTGAACGGGTGATGAGCTGCGCACCCGAGGGACAAGTCTGTGGCTTTGAATGGGCACCGTGCAGGAGGGGAACGGCAACAGTGCGGCTAAGGGGCGACGCGACTATGGTGAAAGACTCGGCGGGTTCTGGATGTTGTCGTGGACCAGCGCGCGCGTGGTGGTGAAGGCCAACTCTATTTTTGGCACCAGGCAGCGGGGGAGGTGCTAGATGCCAATGCTGTGTTTCAGGACAAATTTGACAGCGTCGCCAGAGTGAAAAGGCATAAGAAGAGGTCCGCAATGGGCAACACTTCTCAAGTACAGGAACAGGTCAACGGGCCTCAACACGGAGCCTTGCTAGCATCAACGAGGGGTGTGTGTTCTGACGGCTCTTCCTTTCCATGATTGCAAACCCCATCAATGCATGCTTAGGCTACTTTCACCCTAGTAGGCGTTTCAGGTCACCGACTAGCTGCATAGGGACCGCTTGTCGAATGCGCTTCGAGTCCGACGAGGAACTTCCTTGACGCGGTCTTCACCGCGTGCTGTCACGAGGACAGACACATCATAGCTGGCTCGGATATCATTCCTTTGGCCATGTCATGATTGTTTTCCGACCACCGTACCCAGGCCAGAATGCCGTGGACAGATGCGTTTGAGCTGGGTTGCCTAGACATGCCTGTTTGGGCACAGAGGCTGCTTGCGCAATTGCATAGCGTCACCCACGATCTCATCTAACAGCATACGATCTATACGAGGCAATGCTATACTGTCCAAGCGCTTCAGGAACAGGAAAACGCCTGATGTCAACACGGCAAAGTATCAAGTCGACCAGCCCCTCCATTTCGTCTGGTGTTCGGCGCCCCGCGTAATCTTTCACCCGAATGCTTAGTCAGCCGCTAACTAGACATTGACCTGAGCTCTGAGCTCGACAAAGACTGCAACCTTCACAGGCCTCGTGCCTTGCATAACCACCAACACCACCACCGCCACTTTCTCCAACTCTTGCTCATCCCCTTCATGTATGGGACTATGAGCTTGGGTTCCTACTCTGTTCACTGTAAGTTTCTTCCCACCCCCGATGCGTGCCCACATATGCGATGATGAACACATATTGGAGCTGTCCTAGGCAATAGCCTTTGAGGACTCTAATAATAATATACACTGAAAATTCTGATCTCGCGTGAATGTTGCAATAATTGTTACCTACGAATGTGTGGAGCCGTAGCTAACTGTTGTGAAGAATTTGCAGAACTGCCTACAGACGCGTCGAGCAGCAACCCGCCCGCCCACGCCTCATTTCGACCATGTCTGCCGACCCACGACTGCGCGCGAGGCAGGAGCAGCAGCCTACGCCCACTGCTGCTCCTGCTACTACTGCTGCCCCTCCACCTCCTCCGCCGCCGCCGACCGAACCTAGCCCCACGGGTATGGACGGCGCCAATGACGCGCACGCAGAGCAGAACATGGTGCCTGATGATAGCTTCAAGCTCAAGTTCTGCACTGTGTGTGCGAGTAACCAGAACCGGTATGTCCAGCGCTGATCTGCGAACCCAACTTCTTGCTAACTTGCTTAGTTCCATGGAAGCTCATCTGCAGCTTGCTTCAGCGCACCTCCCTACAATCAGCTTTGGCACTGGCTCTCTTGTCCGACTCCCCGGTCCAACCATCACGCAGCCTAACGTCTATCACTTCAACAGCACCACCTACCGTGCTATTCATGATGAGCTCGCTCAGCAGAATACTGCCCTCTACACTCACAACGGGCTGCTCAACATGCTTGGTCGCAACTTGAACATCAAGGGCTATCCTGAGCGCTTCCAAGACTGGGTGCCCGGTAAACCACGTCTGGATCATGCTGAAGACAAAGGTTCGCAGGGGACGGAATCAGGTGTCGTTGATGTCGTTGTAACGTGCGAGGAGCGTTGCTTCGACGCTGTGCTAGAAGATCTCCACAACAAGGGCGGAAAGCTCAACCGACCTGTTCATGTCTTCAACGTTGATATTAGGGATAATCACGAGGAGGCCCTCGTTGGTGGTAAAGCTATTCTCGACCTCGCGCTCAGCTTGAATGAAGCTGCGGCAAAAGAGAGAGAGCAGCATGGCGACAGTGGATGGCAATCAGGTGGCGGAGCTGCTCGTTCTGGCTTCGACGAGCGCGTTCCCGATATACTTGCAGCCTGGCAGGAGCGATGGCCCAACATGCCTGCGCTCTGGAGTTTGGCTTGGTTCTAGTTCCTACATGACGGCGTTACTGTTTTCCACATCCTGGCATGATTGCCCTAGATACCCATATTGCATAGCGAGGCGTTTTGGACATGACATCTATATGAAGAGTTCTCACGAATACATGATTCCACAAAGCTCATCTTTGGTCCTTTGATTCGTGCAGTGATATGAATCACCATGTGACAACCGACATGACGTCGTGTCACAAACGTAGCGTACGCGCACAAGCGTCCACCGGCTGTAGCCTCAAGGCACGGTCTGCAGCTAGCCACGTGTGTGTACCACGAGCTCATCGCGAAAGTCAATGTGCTTTTGAGGTATCCTAGCAGCAAACAACACTCTAATCTCTTCTAACATTTCAATCAACATCTTCTATGCGACGAGGGCCATATCCAAGACGCCTCTACCCTACCTAGCTACTCACCAACACCATGAACGTAGTGCTATTCTTTGTCCTTATTTCGGGCGTCATCGCAACATTTGAACCAAGAGGTGGAGCTGGTAGTAGACGCTGTGGATGGGAACTTATGCAAAATCTCCGTATGTTCATCGGTCGTCTCTCCGTCCCCTCCTGGACCAATCTGATATTACTATAGAAATTCCTATTCCCAAACTCGGTGACTGGTACGCAGAGCAAACAGGTGATCGCTCTTTATGCGTGCTTCAGGATGACGGCTCGGAATACTGCACTTGTATCTATGAGTGTGGAAACGGTGTTTGGAGGTCTCTTGACGAGAGTAACCACGACAGTTGGAGATATGGAAACGAGAGCAGCTCGTGGGAGTGGGAATCGGGATGCAAGAAATACTGTCACGCTGGGGTATGTGATGGACAGGATTGATGGAGTCGGAGCAAATGCAGAACTGAGCGGCAGGCGTTGTGGAGATGCGACACACGACTGTGTTTGAAAATGGTGAGTAGGATGTTCCAGGAAATGAATGTGGAAATAATGAGTTCCTTTTGTTGGTTTCCATCTGTTGTGTTGGGAAACACTTACTGATCCCGAATGTGTATCATCATTTGATGATAAGGGGAAACTAGCAAACTGCACTTGCTCGTGCCTTGGCCCAAACGGATGCTAAACGGTTGTTCTCCGAGCATTCCGAATTTCCCTCTCCTGTCAACGATCATCACAAAAGAGACAATCATATGAACAAACAAAAAGTTACTGTGCCCATCCTGGCTGGGACCAGTCTTTCGCAAAAAAGACGACGTTGGCCAGATTCGAACTGACGCTCCCGAAGGAACAAGATTTCTAGTCTTGCGCGATAACCACTCCGCCACAACGCCTCGAGTTGTTTTCATGCTTTGCTGCTTGATGACATAATCCCCAATACGTCATTATATATACCAAAAGTTGGATTATCATCGCAGAAATCTGGCTTTGTGCCGAGCTTCGATGTGTAGTAGGTGGAGCCTAGGGTCAAACGGTACCCAAAAGCGACCCCTGTCTCGGCCCCAGCGTAGGACACCCGCAGCACGCATCGGAGTAGGAATTTTATGTTCCAGCCGACATCTTCTAGGTGTTCGCCGGGAACTCAATTGAGTTGTTCAAGCTTGACAGTAACCTGACCAATCGCACATATTCTCTTCAAAGTAAAGCGCAATGTCGACGCTAATGTCAGGCGTCCTATCTTATCACCGCCCTTCTGCACATCAAGAAAATCGTCGTCTTGGCCGCCCAGTCTGTCGGATCACCAACGTTCCGCCGCAAGCTCCGGCTTCCACGAAACGACATGCATCAGTACCGTCGGAATGTTTGTCGTGGCTTGCATCAGAAACAACCATCAACGTCTATTGTGTCCAAGCTAAGCAGTCTTCACCTAAGCATCGTCGCCGTCAGTTCTTTGGGTAAGCCTGCACGTCGCAGGGACAAATACTCTGCAGATTTCTACCAGCCTTCTGCCGTAGGCCGTGCCTCTTAAGCCTCGATACTGTCGTCTTCCGTACCCTTGATGCAAAACCACTTGTGTTCAAAATGGTGTACCGTGGGCGGCCATCAACAGGCTGCAAGAAGTGCCGCGAAAGAAAAATCAAAGTGAGTAACGGGCTGCCTCCATTTATACGTCCAAAGTTGCGTTGTGAACCCCTCCAGGGTATGCCGCGCGAGGTTGCGGTCGCCTGCCGCTTGTCGCAACTAGCTTCTTCCTAACTGGGAATCCAGTGCGAGATGGTAGCTTCAGATCTCAATTCCGATTTGTGCTACGAGTCCGATCTAGCTTCGGTGATGCAGGTTGCTGACTAGACGTCTACAGTGCGACGAGCGTCCAGGTGGTTGCGTAAAATGCTTTGAACGAAAATTCGAATGCCCTGGATACGATCGAACTGTCGACGCTTTCTTTCACGATGAAACCGCGCAAACTCAGGCGAAGGCGAAAAAGTCAAAGGCAAAGGCCATTGCGGCGCGTGATGCACGAGATACCAGAGATCTCCGAGAGGCATATCTACAGATTATGGCCAAACAATGTCCAGGAACGGCCATCACAGCGCCGCTCATTGACCAGGGTATATCTTTCTTCATGTCCTACTACTGCACGGGTGTGGATCAGCCATCGATACAGTCAATGGAGTACCAGCAACACCTATCCACACACGGCTTCCATCCGCTCGTCGCAACATCAATGACAGCCTTGGGTATCGCTGGCGTAGCCAACCTTTACATGGACTCTCGTCTCAAAAGCGAAGCGACACGTTGGTACCTCGAAGCTATCAAAATGGCCAATGCAGCAATTTCTTCGCCTGAAGACGTAACGGCCGATAGTACCCTCACCTCAGTCAACCTCCTGAGCATGTTCGAAGCAACGTTCAATGACAACTCCCTAGCTGGATGGAGTAATCATGTGGATGGCGCTGCCTCCCTAATCAAAATGCGGGGCATGGGCCAATTTTCGACTCCAGCGGGACAGAGAATGTATCTCCATACCATTGGTTTGCTGACGATGAACTGCATGGGAAAAGGTGTTCCACTTCCTCAGTATGTTCACGATCTGAACACCGAAGTTATAAAGCACCTAGATACCGAGGATCCTAGAAACCGGTTCTTCTTTCTTCACATCAAGACCATTGACCTAAGAGCGCGGATTCTGAACCAAGAAGCGTTCTCATTGATGGACATCATAGATTCGGCACTAGAGCTTGACGAGGTTGCGATCAACATTTTCAAAGATCAAGGTCCAGACTGGGACTATGATGTAGTGCCTTGCGAGGAACAAGAGTGCTGCTATGAGAACTTCTACCATATTTACCCAACCGCAACAGCAGCACAAACCTGGAACTGGGTGCGTTACAATAGGATCTATTTCCACGACATTATCCGAAATTGCATATTAGCAGACTTCACCTCGACTCCGCCCACGCTTGTCAGCACCAAGTATCATCAGCAATTAGAAACAAGCGCTCGCACTCTATACCAGCTACAATCTGACATCATAGCAAGCATGCCTCAATTCTTGCACGACGTCCCTGATGAAGCGCCGAGCAGAGTAGCCAGCCCGACAAATAGTGAACCGACTCCGCCAGGTGCGTCGGGGCGAGGCAAACCATGGCCTACAGTCGCTAGTACAACCTCAAGATCTCCTTATCGTATAGCACTTAAATCCCTTGATGGGAACTTTCGAGGCAACACGCACAATCTCGTCAAAGCGCTGATCGGAAACGGATCAGTAAAAGATCGACTTCCCATCGTGCGGGTTGCAGGAGGCTACAGCACTGTATGGGCACTCTATGTGGTATGGTTTCTGATCATAACTAGCATCATGTTCTTACTACTAATGATTCTATGTAGGCTGCCGCCATGCCGTTAGCCTCGCCAAGAAGCCAAGACTTCGTAGACAATTGTATGACACGAATCGAGCACGAATTTGGCATCAACCAGGCTCGAGTGCTATCAAACGCCCTGAAACTCAAACGTCATCTCGCTAGCAAAGGCGCCATTGCTTTCGGTATATGCCCGCAATACTTACCACCGGACGACGGAGTTTATGTTCCGCAACAGGATCTATACAATAAGGTGGGTCAGAAGGTTCCCGAGGTCCTGATGGAGGCATCCTTCCAGGCTACTTTTCCAACTGTGGCAGAGATTCTTTCAGGGCCTAAATACTAGAATCAAACCTGACTCGTGCAGGTTGTTGAGATGACCGACGAAACGCCTGAGGCGCTGTTGTTCGATGATCTGGATTCAGTATACTGAGACACAGTCAACGTTACGAGATCTTCAATAGGGTGATATTTCAACAAAGTATCCGAGAAATATCACAATCGCTTCGAACAAGGTAACAAAGTGTTGACCCTCGTCATCCGCATCCGCATTCTGCTAAACGAAAGGACGACAGATTCGAGTGGCCCCAGGCTTACGTTACTCTCGAAAACTGCCGATACACCAGCTTCAGAACCACCGACTATCGTATCATCACATATGAGTTTTGTAAATCAGACTTATGTTGCTAGTATTGGGGATTAGTCTTGTGGCGATGTTTTTCCTGGATTGGGTAACAAGAAATGCAAAGGTCAGAAGGGTTGACCCATAGTGCCTCGAAGAGGGCACTCGCTACTACCAATCGAGTCAAGCGGACTTTTTTTGCTCTCCGACGGAGTGAGTGTTTACTCAATACCGCTTATGCGCATATATCCACCCATTAGAGGATCGCTTCCGCCGTCGCACATTGTCATAAACCCCTCCTCGAATCTCTATGCACCACACCTCGAACAAGTCAACCGTACGACCGCCGCCCGAGACAACCCGCATTGAGAATAACTTCGAACGCGATAGCCTTCTTCCATAATGACGACTGTATTCATTCCGCAGACAGGCTCGCCTCTGCTCAGCCTTCCAGGAGAGATTCGGAACAAGATCATTCGAAATGTCTTCAAATATGAGAACCCAGTTCTACTAGTGCCTTATATCGGTTTAATAATGTATCTGTCGTCGCCAGCGATGGTTTGTGCGACGCAGGACATCCAGGTATTTACTACCTGCCGCCAGCTCCATGGCGAATGCAAGAGTATCTTTCTCACGAACAACGCATTTTTACTCTCTACACAGCCCAACACTTTCAAGGACGCTTCAACCATGGGGCTTTTGAGCCGATGGATGTTTGATCTCGGTCCGTATCGCGATTACATACGCAAAGTGATCATCGATCTGAGCCCACTTTGTCCTGGACCGTGTCATCTTTTCAGGCAATGGATCGACTTGAAACCAGTCATTATGGAGATCTGGCGTTACCAAGACATACTTACAGCCAACGGTAGCCGACAGCGCGCGAACATTGATATATCCTTTGCGTTCTCAGGACGGCCGCTTCGTGGACACCTACATCATCCACCACAAAACACGATTAGCGACTCTAATCTGAACGCGATGATCACGCTGCTGACTCCCTAGCGGATCCCAGAGATGGGTGCTTACCTCCAATCACCACATGTGCTTCGAGAGGTTCGGACCGACGTCAAGAGCCCGCAAGCTCTGTTCATCTTGGGTACACCCAGTCATTGCGATAGCACTGAAATGCCAGCTATTAGTTACGAGTTGAGTGTCAACGGTCAACTTGAACGGAAGCATTACTGCGTTAACAAAGGATCTGGTATTGCCCGCCTCATTTTTGTGGCATCGATCCGCGGAAAGCTTCTTTCTTTGCTCATGGGTTCAAACGTTACTCAGTTCATATATAACATTGAGAATCGAACAATCTTACCTCGTTTACCCGAACCCTTCTCGATAAATCGCCGTTTTCGAGAACTGGCGCTCCGAAAGTTCTCAAGGGTCCATGCTGTTGGAAGAATCGTATCGTACAATGCGCAGGCTACTTTCGATGACCTAAGGCTGATGTATGATTGGTGCATGGCTAGTCGACTGTTCATCCGTAGCGAACACGCAGCTCGACATGAGAAGTACCCTCCAACTATCCTGATGCGTTTTGAGCTATCGGAGCGAGACAATCTTTCCAACCTTCGGATTCCGATAACAAACATCGTCGTGGCAACGACCAAGCTTCCATTCAACACAGAGATACGGGTTGAGTTAGTTCATATCAACTTGCCCGTTAGCGTTAAAGTTGCGGTCAAAACAGTAACCCTTCACAGGCTTCAACAACAGTTCCTTGTCTTTCTTACTGATATCTTGGACTTCTATCCAGGCCAGAGTACTCAAGTCTGTCCACGCGTCACAATGGATGGTAACTTTGCAATCAAGGAAGCAGAGTGTGAGCGAGAGGACGGAAGCGATTTTCTTGTCAAGAATAAGAGTACCGCTCTTGACTCTGACGAGATGGAAGAGGAAGTTGATCTGTGCATGAACAAACTGCTAGAAAGAGATGATCCTGTTACGGCCGCATACCTCCCCCATCGCGAAGTCAACGATGATGGAAATCATACTACGTACATCTTGGACTCACCGCATGATCACTCGTTGCTAGGGGTGGCTGTGTGGCTGGCTTGCTGCTTGTAGGAAACTGGTACAGTTGGCCACTGGTGAAACAGATGAGGATGTTAGTTCATGTTGGGTATCTCTTGAGATTAATGTGAGGTTTGAGCAAACGTTGGCCCATTGTTTGAACGTTTCACACAACGTGGAAAGTAACAAACTCTGCTTCATATTGTTACCAAAGAATAAAGCGGTTGCGTTCAATTCAACCAATCTGAATCCATAGCTTACCTTCTGAACGAGACTCCATGCATGACTTTGAATGCCATGAAAGATGTTACACCGCCCCTTTACACGACTCGCCAGCTAAGTCGTTACCGCTACTATGCCACCCTTTACGCGGAGCGCGAATACCCAGATGCTCCACATTATAATCACGTTTCTCGGCCGTCCCATCTTCTCGGTCTAGCACAGAAATTGCGTGTTCTGATATACACCGCTGCATTAACACTTCCTTTGTCCATCGGGGTCTGGCCGGAAACCGACAACAGAATCGCCCCACACCAGTTCACAACCATGAAGCGTAATATGCGGTATCTGAAGATGAGAATACAGCGACCGGGTGTAAATCTGAGCCTGCTGGGGTTTGTAAACAGGTCAGACACGGAGCAACAAGATGATTCTACTAGAGAAACGAGTCGCGGTTCAGTGGTACCGATGGATGGATGGTCGCTCACGCTGTCTTGTTCACCACCGGGGTATTTGGTTGCAACACATCCGCTCTATCACACTACAACTGCCTTTCCAGTTTACGCCTCATAGTCATCTAAACCACGGTAGGGGCAAAGTTAACCCAGCGACGAGTGGCTGCGCCGTCGTTAGACTTGCTAATTGTATCCCTTTCGCCGTGCCTAAATATTGGACATACACAGGTAGTGTGGTAGACGTCTGTAGAGCGCTTGGCAAATGCGTGAATGTTAGTATAGTCAACCTCGTATTTCCAGGTTGGTATGAGCCAGACTCTGTTGAAGAGAAAGTGACACACACAAAGCGGATCGAGAAGCTAAGGGATGCAAATATTCAAGGTATGAAGATCCAGGTGGTGAGGGTGAGTAGAACGCAGCTTTCGCGAGATAATCTGTCGACATTAGAGGCAAGGCAGTGGTCACTTATGCACGAATGCAATGGGACAGGATGGGAGATAAAGCAGACCAGGTGCGATGAATTTGGAAGACTTCATATAAAGGCTGACTGATTATTCGGCCTTGAGCATGGTACACTGTCCCAATGAGTTCGTGATCACCACTCTTTTGTGATGTTCTACTTCCCGATGCGCAAGAGTTCACACAACAGCATTCCTGGAGCATATCATGCTTCTATATAGATTGACGTCAGATTGGTTGCTATAAGAATAGACAGTCCAGCTCGCAAAGACCGCGCATAGCGGTGAGATGAAGTTCTCGTTTGTTGTGCACCTCGACCCTTCATTTCGGTCATGCACCTGAGCCCTAGACTCGTCGATGGGATCAAGGAGGGGGCAGGGGCTAACGTTGGTGACTTCAACGCTGTTCCCGCACTAATTCAGGAGAGCATGCACATGTCTCCTGATCAGCGAACTGTGCCGCTGTGTGGCTTAATGTTGATAACACGACATACATGATTCGTTCAAAAGTGAATCCCAGGTTTTTATTGGCCTGTCTTAGCTTGTGGTATCCATGTGCGAGTAGTGCAGATTAACGCTGGCTTCTTTTCGGATCGCAGCGTTTCATTTTTGTAAAATTTTCTGGTCGATAAGGCGCTTAGGCAACAAGGCAGCGATTCGTGTTTGTAGTTTTTCTTCACTGACAAGTGACGTGGACAACCTCAGCAACATATCCATGTGTCTGTTCACCTCATTCGCGATGCGGTGAGGAGTCTGAAATTGGTGCCTATTCTAGGCCATTATTGTTGCACGCAGGAAGTCTGTGCAGTGTCGGAGACTTTCGGCTTCGGAAGCAGGAAGGAAGTGGAGTGCACAAGCGCCACCTCCTGCCACATCCCCGCGCCACATCCCCGCGCCACACTATCGCCTACGGTCCGCCAATGCGGTCCTTCTCCAACGAGTGCATTGACCAGGCGCCACAGGCTATCTTCACCTGACTGATTCTCGGTCTTATACAACACAAACTCATGTATTAAAATGTTCCAAACATGATTGTGGCTGCTGCACACATCCCGCAGGATTCAATAAGGATCGAATTCACGTAAAATGAGAGTCATGCCATCGGAAGACAACAACCCGGCCAGCGAAACACGGCACGACACGCCGCGGAATCGCGCTGTACCCATGATTCGCGACGTCGATCAGTAATACATCCACCACGGATTGTTACCAAACCACAACATATACGGTGAATACAACTTGCATCTATTCAGATGCCAGACAACTAAATTCTCTGAGATTTGAACAATGCCGTATTGTTAGAGTCGGTCGGATCTATCAGCCCGATGAGTGAGTCTTGTTAGCGGGCTTCGTTGACATGCGCCATCCGTTCCATCGCGGTCGGTGTGCAAGAGCTAGAAACGACAGCTGGGCGTCATGCGCGACACGCCTGTTTGGCGCAACATGACATGCCAAGACACGACGAGCTTGTTTTAAGCTTATCTAAGTAGAGCTGCCATTGGCTGCTACGCGCGAAAGGGCAACATTGAAACAACCTGACAATCTAGCAAGATTCTAGCGCAAGGCTCGCCCCGGAGAATGAGTCGCAAACATCTCTTGGCGTGACACCAACACTGTTCCCGGAGAATTGCTTGACTGGCCAGACGTTCCATACGACCAGCGGAAATTTCAGTTCTCCTTGGCGTTCTAGATATATGGTATCGATGTGGATATTTGCGCGGTTTCAGCTCAAAGCTTGGCATCTTTCCGAGCATTGGCGCCGGCACGACAGCCTGTATCTAGCACTAGTCGATCGGACATGGAACGTGTTACTGGCATATTCGCGAGATACCCATGATAACGGGCTTTCGCGTGGAGTTCGGAAGCAAGCAGTCTATCGCATCACTCAATTTGCCTCCCTGGGTTGCAGAGCAAGTCTTTGCTCACCCTAGCACTATGGACAGTGATCCCAATATGCTGGATGGTGTTCACTTCACCACGATTACTTGAGAGAATACACAGTACAAGAGAACCCCGACATGGGCAATGTCGAAACATTCCATCATGAGTCTGTTTACGACTTCCATGCCCCACCGAAGCACGGGCTCTAGCGCCCATGAAACCCTGCGAGCGTATCCTTCTGGACCTGAATCCCACTTACGAACGCATGGTGCGCTGGGCCTAGCCTCCTGAGTACTACCGGGGAGGAAGACTACCCTGTCTTCCACATGGCACATCTTCGGAGTAATGTGTGAAGTCACCAGTGTGGCGCGCAGAAGCTGAGTTGAGAAGAGTATAAGTATCACATAGGCCATCGGCAAAAAGGAATCATCCACCATCACATTCATTCAGTCTTTCGTTTGCTTGAAGCATCCCACTTTCGCTACCTCTTTTAGAGACTTACATTCTTTATACATACTTTGCCAAGTATCCTCTTTCGACTTTCTACAGTTTCGATCAACCAACTCAACCATCAAAATGAAGTTCTCTATTGCCATCATTGCTGCCATCACTGGCTTCGCCGCTGCCGGCCCTGCTGCCTCCGCCCCTAGCGAGTTCTTCTCTCTCGCCAAGCGTGCCTCCCTCCCGATCCCCGCCTCCAAGGGCTCTGTTACCTACAAGAAGCCCCAGGAGATTTCCGGAACTTTCGATGGTGGCATGAAGACCTACGGCCGTGGTGCTTCTTGCACAGGTCAGGTTGAGGGTGGTGACAAGGACGCTGTCTTCCTCATCAAGAACGGAGGTACCCTCAAGAACGCCATCATCGGCAAGGACCAGATCGAGGGTGTCCACTGCGAGGGTAAACATTACCCCTGTATGCACTACATATAGCAAACGTACTAACCGTACACAGGATCCTGCACCATCGAGAACGTCTGGTGGGTCGACGTTTGCGAGGATGCTCTTTCCCTCAAGGGTGACGGCAACGCCATGATCAAGGGCGGAGGTGCCCAGTCTGCTGATGACAAGGTCATCCAGCACAACGGAAAGGGAACGGTCACCATTGACGGCTTCAGTAAGCAGCTCTTTCGACACTACACTCTGACAATTGCTAACAATTCTATAGCCGTCATGAACTTCGGAAAGCTTTACCGTGCCTGCGGTAACTGCAAGAACTCTGTCTCCCGCTCCGTTGTCATCAAGAACGTCAAGGCCTACAACGGTAAGGTCCTTGCCGGTATCAACCCCAACTTCGGTGGTACCGCTACCATCTCCGGCACCTGCGCTTCTTCCGTCAAGACCATCTGCGAGGAGTTCAAGGGCACCAAGCCCGGTTCTGAGCCCAAGTCCGTCTCCAAGGGCCCCTCCAGCTACTGCAAGTACACTGCTTCCGCTATCAAGTCTTGCTAGACGCATACTTTGACTCGCTCGATATCTTTTTAGGCGAACGAGAAAATGGCGGTTGCGGATGGAGATGAAGGAGTGAGTCGTTGAACACTTTGGAATTTTAGAGGTGGATTCTTTGTACATATAACTTTGCGCACATGCAGTGCATGTAATACACTTGATCTTCAAGCACAAGTTTGTTCTCTCTGTTTCCATCGTGATCTACACTACGTTCTGTCTCGTACATCTGATCATAAAAACTGACCAGATGAGCTGTTGAACTCGAGGCGAAAAGGTGATAATGCGTTCAAGTCTTTCTACTGCTGGAAATCTTCACCGTGTGGAGAATACAAAGACATCACCTCTGGAGAACTGTGCGTTATTGTTAAGATCTACGAGACAGCTGAAGAAAAACTTGGTGAACGTCTGTAACATTAACAAGATGTTATGGACTACGTAAGATTCTCAAACTTCGCTCAGTAAAGATCGGAATGCAAGCATTGTAAGAAGACATACAAAGATCGGAGCTAATATCTACAACATAGTGTGATAGCGGCGAGATGAAGGGCGTTCTAGAGTTGAGTGGCGATATCGGCAATACAGCAGACAGAGCTACAATATCGTTTTGAACATCTTGCGGAGTGAAAAGAGAAAGAAGATTGAAAAAGTGGGTATAGCGCAGGGAATTTAAATGACAGAACATCAAATAATGATGTCACGCCTTGCGCCGCTTCTTAACAGCTACCTTTGGAGGGGTAACATTAACACTCGCTTCACCCTCTGCCTGGAGGATATGTTCACGAGTCCGCTTCTTGCCCTTGGAGGGTTCTCCCGGTTGAAGAGATTTCATGGGTTCTGGAAGATGTTCCATGTCAGAACGTTCTTCAAGGCCAGAGTACGACGTTTTGGCCTGGTGCTCCTCGCTATCGGTAGTTACTTTGCCTTTTGCAATCAGACCGGCCTTGTGCGCGTTGGCAGTTTTGTTGGTCGCCGTGCGGGAGGTAAGGGTACGAGGATTTCCGATGATAGTATAGAATCGTGTACCTTTTAGGATGTCCTGGCATGTCGTCTTGGAGCACTGTGGGCAGTTAGCAACAGCCAGCGTAGTCAACCGTAGTCAGCAGGAAAAGGGAAATCGGTAATACGCACGTGAAGAAGCTCCCGAAGAGCTTCGAAACGATCTTCGAAAGTGTAAAACATCGTTACTTGACAGTTCTCACGCTCACCCTTGTCGTAAATGGTCTTGGTCCACCCGTTCGTGTGGATTTCGACCATGGCAAGCTACACTATGTTAGCGAAACAATGACCATAATAGAAAGATGACTTACTACGAGATCGCGAGCCGCTGCCTTGAACTGGTCCTCAGTATAATAGGTGGATCCCGCTAGCCAACGGTTCCGATGCTGGCCTGTTGTAGTCTTTTCTCTACAATTTTCCCTATTTTGTATCGCCTTTGTGAGTGTATCGATGCACGTATTAATCTCGGCTGGAGATGAAGGGATAGTGTTGTCATCAGCGGGCGCAGTCCAGTACACGCCGCCAATATGGAGTCCGGTATCCGTCTGCGAAATGGTGACCGATTTGCCCATCTGCTTGGCCGCGCCGGTTTGGTTTCGCTGCTCTTTTAGCACAGCCTTGGCTTGCTTTTCTTTGTTAAAGAGCGAATCGCTGGCAGCGTCCACAACTCTTGATGCTTCCGCGTCTTCTCTGCCGTCGAAAACTTGACTGTTTTCTGACTGGTTTGGCGGCGGTATAAGATACCCATTGTCATAAGGCAGATCGGGCTCGACCGAAGAGTACATATAGTCGTCCTCAAAGCTCTTTGGAGTTTCTGGGAGAGGTCAGTATGTGCGCCATACGTAAGACAGATACTACTATAACTTACCGGGGGCGAAATTAGTGTCAAAACGCGGTGGAAGAAGATCCCCGAAGTGCTGGGGCTCTCCAGACGATGGCCATCTGGGTGCCAGTTCCTGAGGATAAGAACTGTTACGAGACTGATGAGAATCTGGTAGGTCATAGCGCCATTTTCTGTTTTCGTCCTCGTACATGTAAGGCTCTTGGTCCGGGAAGAATTCGCCATTCTGATCCGGATCGAAGGAATCGAAGCCAGCAGACTCAGTGAACACCTGAGCATTTGGCGCGATAGAAGAAACCGAGGGGAGATAGGGCGCTGCGCGCTGGCGATCAGGAAAAGAACTGTTGTTGCTCATCATGTGCGAAGGTGGTTGCTGTACACAGAATGAAAGTCAAAGTTGCGTGAAGAAGTGATGTGGAGAAGAATTTTTTCTTGTGGTGGTGGAATGAAATACAGTTGTGCGGTCATGGGGAAAGGAAAGCGTTCTGGAGTTGCCTATTTCGCATGAAATACTGCAATGAAAGGCTCTTGACCAGAACAAGGTAGGGCGCAAAGTGAATCGTGTGTTTACAGAGAGCGTTTCCTAGGCGGCAGAAGCAGAATGTCGAGGAGGAATCGACATAGAAGAGCCCCCGGCACTGGATTTCCGATAATTAACCAGTGAATTGACCTACCTTAGCTAATGATAAAGTGCTTTGTTGATGGAGTTGTTGTCATTATATATGACCGTTCAAGAGTAACTGAGTGGAGATCAATCGACACGAACGGACGCTGTGGGTGACGCGTGCGGAGGATACTGTTGACCAGACTGTAGATTTCGAAACTCGGCTCGCGCCATTGTATGGTCAGCCGTGCAATTCGAAAATCGCGTCGGTCCGGTCCAGTGGACGAGAAGTGAGGGCAGAAGGGCAAATCAAGGGAAAAGGCAAATCATCGAAGGGGAGGACAAGCCGACCCGCGATTGGGCTCAAAACATGACTGTCTTTCTGTAATTTCTGTGTGTTCGGGAGTGTTGCTCGACTCTTATGCTGAAGTGCTTGATGAGAATGACAAAGACTTCCAATGTTGCCGCGGACAAACTGGTCGGGCAATCACGTAGACTCTTTAAAACGGTTGCTATGACAGACACGTGGCTCAGGAATTTGGATCAACTGATTCTCGCCTAGTAAGCGAGTGACGGTAACGATGGCTATTTGGAGTACTGGGAGAGGTTCTTACTGCTTGTTGCTTCTTTCGTCGGGATAGCTCAAAGCAAAGAGTTGAATCAGAACGCATCTGAAAGATGTCACTAAGGTTATGAGAAAAGAGAGGCAGGAAACACTCTAGATCGGTCATATTTTTGATCCATTGCGCGATTTAGACAGACTTTGCGCCTTCGGCAGCCTCATTGAGAAAGACTGGGAGCGGAGCCTCTGGGCAGTGCAGCGAACATCATCCTACGTATTCTCATGCTCAGAAGACCTGATTGGAACGTGAAGTGGTAGTGACCGAAGAAAGAAGGAGACGTTCAGGGATGTAGATAAGTCCATGTAGGTTTGTCATTGGATTTGAGGTACATCAATACACGCTAGCGACGACGATTCTGCCCCTCAGCACCGGCTGTCTTTTCCCGCTACAAGCATAACGGCATCCGTCCCCATACCAACCCACCACTGGCCGGCTTCATATGTCGTGCTGGTCATCGTTCTAGATCGAGTCGCAAATGGCCTTCGGATGTAACCAACAGTCATACCAGCGCCGAACGCTAGGTGTTTTGGTCGTACGAAGACCCAATAGCTAGCAAGCCATACCATTCACAGTTATCGCGATCCACAGAAAACTTACCTCGACGACTGTCCTTCGGACGCGTCAGAGACGATGCCGCTATCTTCAACCTAAAGACATCCAGGAAACATCCTCTTTATGCTGCGCCTCCCAACAACAACAGCGGAAGAAAACACTTTGTGACCTACCGCGATCATGTTGATAGCGATGTGAACTTCCTAGTTACGCGCGATGCCATAGCATGGTTCTGCGACGACGCATAATTCACAAGCCACTCACGACATGCGCAACCTATCCAATACCCCGTCGATACGAGACCCCCCAAGTGAGACAGGTCATGAAGGCAGGGATGGCTGCATACTAAGTGCGCCACGGGCTCATTCTGCCAGAGTCTTCCTCTTCTCCCTGCCCTCTATCAGATGCGTATTCCCTCGGCAACGTGAAGAGGCCATGTGCTCTAAACTCCCTACTAGAAGAGTGGTGTCTGATAGAGAAGAACAGGCAACGTCTCTGAGTTGTTGCATAGCACAAGGTGCCCCTGTCGCTTTGCCGTTCCTGTCGACGAAGGATTCGTTCATGTCTTTCGCAACATGCACCTGCGGCACGACACCACGAGCCCTGAAGAACACAGAAAAACTTATTCTGGTAAGATGTAACTCGATGGGAAGCCGAACACTGTCCTGTTGGGTGCGCACGTTGCCACTGTCAACAGCAATCGACTACACCAACGAGGAAGCGACAGGCGCGCTTGCCGATAGTGTGAGCCGACTCAGCAAGATGTCTGTAGTGATCGTGTCAGTTTGTGTCACTCTCTACGGAAGGATTAGCCAGTCAAAATGAGGTTCAGAGTGTATTATTTTGAGCTACGGACAACATCTAGAGCATTTGGTATCATGTCTTCCGAAGCCTACATTGCTTTGCTTTACAACAAAGCACAGTTTCGGCATGTTGCAAGTGTTGCAAGAGCTTAAGGAACAGGACTGAGGCTGGCTGAAGCAAACGCTTCTCAAATCCAAGGTGAATGCGAGATTCTCAGATGACGCTTGGACAGTTCTTTAGCCACCCACCTGCGGTGATCAATACACGCAGCGCGACGTACGTTACTTACCCAAGCAACGGACCACAACAGTAAGATTTGCGATTTCACTGAGCAAGAGTTGGATTTTACGACATTTGACAGGCTTGGCATCATCCAGTGATCACATATCGACCCCGGTTTTGTGACAGCACGACTTCACTTCACTTTACAGGCTGCCTGGAATAGTGCCTTAGGTCGTGCGCCACTTCACTCAAGCTTTCCCTGGTCGCCTTTCGACTGCTGTCCTTGTGGTACATAAATACGTGTCCTACGGCGTTTCACTTTTCACACCGTACACATCAATGCATCAACACATCTTCGAGAGTAAGTCTACCGAACTTGGAATTTGAGCACCAGAACGAAACTAACCTCTACGTTACTTGCAGGTAACTATATTCCCAAGTCAATCCACTTCCTGCCTACGCCCAAGTCCAACAACATGACAGATCGCGATCTCGACATGGATACCATTCAGGGTGCACCTGACAAAGCCACCACGATGACTTCTATCACGGCCCTGCCTTCCCCCGTACCTAATCTCCCTCGACTATGTGACCAGAAGCTGGAAAAGGTACCTCAGTTCTTGAAGGCTGCGTATCGCCCCAAGCCTAATACTTCGATATGCCTGAACAAGGATGTCCCAATGATCGAAGGCCTGTGCTTCAACAACATGAGTGAGGCTCAGAAATCGATGGCTGTTGCTCAGTGGTACGCACCTCAGGAGGATGGAACCATCCCAGAGACCGAGGAAGAACACCGCAGGATTGTTAGGATGTTGGTGGACGCTTTCAAGGATATGAGCATCGCCAAGGATACCGCAACCAACGCCTACCGCAAGCGCTTCACTCCGGGTGAGACTTCCTACTACCAGAACTGGGCTATCGAAGCCTGTGCCTGGGATATAATTGTGAGTAAGAAGCATATGCCAGCATGACGACGATTAAACTGCTAACAAGTGAGTTAGGACAAGGCCAAGTATATCCACACGGAGGGCTTCAAAATTCCGATCTACGACAAGTCCATCGTTGACTATATCGGCCAGACCCAGAAGTGGCTGTTCGGAGAGCGTATTGACTGGATATGCCAGGTGCTGAAGGTGTGTTTGTCCCTTCTGGCGATGACTGAACTCATACTGACTTGGCGCTCAGAGCTCGAAGCACGTCGCTGTTACTCTGATGGTGATTATTCAAGACTGACACGATTGTTGATACTTGTAGCTGACACAACGACAGAAGCATGAGAAGAACTGGGTTACGATTGGCGCACCTCACAAGCTCTATAGTAGCACCCTTGTCAACACTATCTCGAACGCTCACCGTGGCAAGTGGATCAAAGATGGTCGTGGAGCAGACAGGAATCATCAAGATCGTCCATTCAAGGGCAAGCGCACTAAAGATCAAGTGACCTTTTCCGAAGGTGAAGTTGTTGGCATGGACTTGCCCAACAATGTGGACTCTGGCACTGTTGCTGGAAGTGAAGAGACAGGAGCACAGAACCAAGAGCTTATCCGCAAGCGTCAAAGGATCGAGCATATTACAATCGAAAGCAAGGATTTCGACATGGATGATGCAATTACTGCGGAATCTGACGCTGGTGTTCAATCTGTCGAGAAACCTGAGAAGAGTCACATGTCAAATGAGTCCATCATCAACTCCATGGTTGACTCCTCGGATGGAGATTTTCCCACGAAGTCTTTTGCTGTTGATCCCAGACAAGATGCTTGCGTCAACTTTTATCTTGACACGAACACCAAAGGCAGGTCTGAGTCGGACAACGAGTCGGAGCTCTCTGAGCCTCCCGATGGTCTGCTCCCTGACGCCCTGTACGCTTCTCCTATTAACAAGAAGACGGGCGACCCCAGAGTAGATTCTTCAACTCTAGAGCCCCGGGTGGACGACGCTGCTCATCTAGACGGCGCGCATATGTTAGTCTCTCTGAGCGCCAGCCGTTGAGCATCGTGCTAGGTTGTCAGCCTTGACGACTAATAGCTCCACACATACGCCGCACTGTGTAGAGTAATCTTGCTCTACCCTCTTGCAGTATAAGAGTCGGCATTGGAGATAACAGGCTATATTTCATGGGTCGAGATACCATAGGAAGTCACGACGTAATGACTGTAATATTTGATTAGTTTACGAAACCGCGACTGAACAGGAAGATAACTGAACACTGCCTTGACATGTGACATTGCGTGAGCTGATTAGTGTCTACGGGCAAATGATTCCCGGTGTAGGAGCCTACGCAAGAGGGTGCGTCTATCCCGCTGAGATGGCGCAATGCTTGGTGGCCTTGTCGTGTCTCTACGTTAGTTCGGTTATGGGTAAGTGCCGCACTAAGCTTGATCGATCCGCCAGCTTGTAACCTCGGAACTTGCGCATCTCCGTTTCGCAACTGAGGAGTTGGGCCAGTGAATATCAGCACTAACACGGCTTCCAATATGGCCTCTAACATGTCAGTAATCATGTCGCGTCGTCCTCTGCCGTCTTCTAGATCGGAATTGAGTTATTATCGCACGTCGTCCGTCGCATGACAGTCGTCTGTCCACACCCTCTACTGCCTACGATGCCCGACCCAAGAATTGAGCACCTAGAAGACTTTACCGCACACGAATGGTGCAATGCTCTGATCTTCGATCCCTCGATAACGCACGTCCACAAACGTCACGTCTTCGGCAAGGGACACGAATGGAATTCCCTCTTCACCCGCAGTCTCTTCACCAACGATGCCATTCGTGCCTTCCTCAACTTGTACAAACCTGGCAAAGGGCAGAGAAGAGCAGTAGACCGGAACAGCATAGTCACAGGCGAGCCACCGAAATTCAGGAATGTTGCGCCGAGCGACTACGACAAAGAGTTACGCAGAAGAACGGCAAAGGAGGATGTACAACACAACCTTACAGACCCAGAGGCGCCTGAGAATACCGTGTTAGTTTCTATGGGTGGTGAGCTTGATGGTGGTATTGGGCGTCTTCACGGCGGCGTCACTGCATCTTTGCTAGATCAGGCTATGGGCGCGCTGTTGATGCACTACTACGAAAGTAGCAATGCGACTACGGAGTTGAGGGTCAAGTACTTGAAGGCTGTCGAAACGCCTTGCATACTGAAGGTCAGGGCGAGGATAAGCAGAGAGGTGGGAAGGTGGATAGAAACAGCAGGATGGGTCGAAGATGGAGAAGGTACCGTGTATGCTGAAGGCTGGGGTAGTTTTGTGTTGGCCAAGCTTGAACCATCGGCGAAGATGTAGGCGTACTGATAAATGGCAATGTAGAGACAAAAGGACAAGGAAGCATGTAATGGGAAAGCGTCCAGCCATCGCCCGCTTCCAGCCAAAGGCAGCGCGAGTCGTATCGCGAAGATCTCACGGTCCTAGCATATACATTTTCAGTCTCTCGGCCGCCAACCACCCCGCGCGCGACTCATGCGTTGACCTTACCATAGTCTAGATGGCGAACGCGATGTGCATCACACCCTCACCCAGATCAGTACCATCGCTATCGCTCTCAATGCATATACCTATCGACGGTCCCAACGACCGCTATCGCAGCATGAACCGTTCTTGCCGACCCCTGCCAGCACACGTACCGCGACTTCTCGGCTTCTCCAGTGTTCTCAACATCCGACGAATCACATACTGCAGCGTCGTGGCATTGTGTTTCAGACATTCAGGCAAATTGATTCTAGACCGGGTCCCCTAGCCGCCGATCAGGAGAGTTTTGCAGCCGTTGGCAGGTTCGCCCAACGAAGTTTTCTTATCGACAACGCACACAAGGCGATGACATGGGACATCTCTATTTATGGTGGGGAGGTCAACGTAATTTGACACCTGTTTAATCTTGGAATGTGCACGGCGTCGGTGCAGAGCATGCTGGGTTGAAACAGCGTTATGCGTTGTAGGCTGTGTAAGTTATGTACGATAGCTATCTACAGCTTTCGTCTTTTACGCGTAAGCTTCATCTTTCGTCCTCTCTTCCATTCATTTTTTCGTCGTTCTCTACCGTCGCATTTTGCGCAGTCTCTCGTTCATTACTATTTTTCTTGGTTCAGCGAACCATACACGTTCATTACAAGTTCATTACATTCTTTTTGCTTTGATTAGCCTACATTCAAATCAACGACAACGTAAATCCAAAATCTTCGTGCCTACCGTAATCGTTAAACATGATACCGACCTACTTCGCCAACGCGATATCCCTCATCGTTCAAACTGCTGCGAAACAGGCCCCACCTCCATCTCCTCCACCACCAGCCGCCCTCTTGACCACCTCAAGCAGCCTCGCTGTTTCGCTCAAGTCTTCTTTCCCGGATCAAAATCTAGCATTACTACCTCAACCGTACTGGTGGTGGCAGTCCGGAACTGCGGTCGAAGCGCTTCTCAACTATGGTCCAACAACAGGAGATTGGCAGTATGAGGAGATGCTAAAGAACACGATCGTGACTCAAGCGACAGCAACAAACGACTTCATGACCATCGATGCCACCGGCAACGATGATCAGGCATGGTGGGCGCTCGCTGCCCTGACAGCCGCCGAGAACAAAGTACCGCAACTAGGAGGCATAGCTTGGGTCAACCTAGCAAGAAACGTCTTCAACGAGCAAAGACAGCGCTATGAAGACGGTGCAAACACGTGCGGGGGCGGACTACGCTGGAAGATTGACTACGAAGACGGAAACAACGGATGGCACTACAAGAACGCCATTACAAACGGATTATTCTTTCAACTCGCCGCCCGTCTCGCCCATCTCACAAATGACACAGAGAGTTTGGCCTGGGCGGAAAAGACGTATGCTTGGAGCACGAAAGTCGGACTCGTGGACAAAGATTTCAATGTCTACGATGGGACAGACGAAGAGAATGGATGTTCGGATCTGAACCACAACCAGTGGAGTTATAATGTTGGAGTTTATCTCTATGGCTCTGCTGTTATGGCAGTCCATACCAAAGACGACAAATGGGTCAACCGAACCCGCGGTTTTATTGCTTCTGCGAAGCGGACTTTTACTTCACCAGATACTGGCGCTTTGTTTGAATCAAGATGCGAAGGTAAGGATATAGATGATGGAGGTTGTGACACGGATCAGGTTTCTTTCAAGGGTTTGTTGGCACGCTGGTTAGGTGCTGCGGCAGAAATCTTACCAGAGGTCAAGGAAGATGTTGAGAAGATTATCAATGCGGCTGCAACTGCGGTTCAGGATGGAGAGAAGACAGATTTGGGGCCTATCGAAAGCTTCAATGCTTTGGAGGTAGTTGACGCGAGTCTGAGAATGCAGGGATTAGGTGGTGTGGAGGGTGTCATAGGGTTAGGAAAGGCAAGAAGAACAAAGAGAAGCGTTGCTGGCAGGATATCATGGTGATCAGATACGCCGATAAATGTCAGTCGAAGTTGGTCAGTGGTATCCCAGCCGTTTGCTTACTTTTTCGACGTGACCTCAAGAGGCTGCTCTCCACGATCGTGCTGAGTCTCGTACATCGTCGCTATCCCAGAAATCCCCCTTACACTTGTAGGAATGGATCCCTGCCGTCTAGCGTCATCGTCTGCAGCCGGATCGTGGGCGATCTCATCTCGATGCGCGGTCCGCTACGCGGATCGATGTTCCGGTTACCCTGAGGGGCTACGGGTGGCTGCAGCCCCTCAACACCAATAGAGCTGTTAAAGCTCTCATAATGACGTCGCGGGTGCGGAAGCCTGCCAGGAACGTCAACAAACATCATTTAAGATAAGCTCGTGTGCGGACCAATGTTCACTAATATCTCATCTCACCGTACCATTGTTGCTTTGCTGTTCTCAATTGATCACTAGTTACGTTGCGAAACATCATGCCTTCAGTAAACTCAGCTGTAAGTGTCGCTTTCGCGATTGTACAAGGTATGCAATTGACTGACTTCTGGCAGGTGTTCCATGCGTACGCGTACGGTACCGCATTCTGGTACGGTCTGCGTGGCATGTGCCGTGTGTACGACCCTATTATGGTCATCGGCTGTACGTCGCCCGGATGCTCTTCACTTGTCTTCGTACCATTCAGATCAGAGTTTTGAAACTAATATGATCTAGGGTTCCGACCTCCTTCGCAGCTGAACCTTGCGCCGAACGACCTCGAAGCATACAACGTGCGCAACGATGGGTGGTGTCTCGTCACCCTTGCGTTGATCCTAGTGTCTTTTACCAACGCTGTGCCTTTCAGCTCAGCACCTGCAACGAAGCTCACGTCAATTCCGTATGCGAAGGCGGTGGTGGCTGCGACAGTCTTCCATCACATCACAACTGGCATCGGCGCGTACCAACACTACAAACTGCCCAGTCACTACAACACCAGTATGAGCATTGGCGTGTGGGGTAATGTGTGGCTGACGCTGACGGGACTTTTTACCTTGGCAATGCTGCAGTCAAATGCAGGAAACACACCGGTCGAGGAGGTCGCTAAGAAGGCTAGATAGCTGCGTAGTTAGCGGTTACTTGTTTGGGTTGTTCAAGGAAGTTCTGATCACGGCAATCGAAAGCCTGCCGTCAGAGTGTAATGATGAGTATCTGCCAGGGAAGGACAGAGGATTGAAGTCTACGCAGCGTGCGCCAGAAGTGCTATGACATCCAACGTATGAGGAGTCATTGGATGACAATACATGAACCAAATGAGAAAAAGAATTGGTTGACCATTCGTTCGTTCGCATCAGCTGCCACTTGATCTATTGTGAAGTTAACCCGGTGTTTCCAAAGAATGTCCCAGGGGTCATGTACCATATCTTAATCTTCCGCCTCACTACCCGTCATGTGTACCTCGGAAACCCACCAAATCCCAATGGGTATCCGCGGAAGTTCCAGCCCTGCTGGGTCATGATGCACGGCGTGCAATATGCGTTCCTGCGAAAGTCGTAGTAATTCTGCTCTAGGCATCTTCGGGATTGACGGTAAGGGATGCCGGGCTGATTGAAGTATCGTGGGTCGTTGATTTGGTTCAGACTCATGCGGAAATGATGACACGGTGGGGCCTGTATGTACTCTCGGTAGTTGCAGCGTTCCCAGTGACGATGAATGTCTCGACACATAGCTTTGGTGAGGGACCCTGGGCTGTGAGGCAAAAGAAGTTGCTATGAGCTCAGCTCGATTCGTTATGGGTGAGTCGTTTAGATACATATGAAACAATTCTATATGGTGCCAGAGGATCTTGACAGTCTCACATTGTCACTGCTCTTATACATGTCCCTCAGTGTTGTGATTGTCGAACACATGCTGAGATCATCCAACCGTTGTGCACGGGGAAGGCGGGGAGTGGATTTGAAAGTGAGCCTTGTACTGTATATACAGCATGTAGCTGTGGTATGAGATGTTCTTACATCCACCGGTGAGTAGTTAGTATACGTACCGAATGATGTGTGGTTTCAGCGGATGCGAGATACTGTTCGCGGTATACAAAGATCCTTTTCGTGAGGATACGAGCACTAGCTCAAACGGGCCGCGCAACGTAAGAACACATGGCAGGGAATTTGGACAACTCGCTAAGCAAAGATGAAGTGAGAGAGTGTTGGGAGCAAATCGGATGCAAGCCGTAGCACGCCACGGGGATGAAGCAACATATGACACTTTGCTCAGCCTTAGGTAGCATACCCAGCTCCTAGAGTTTAAGTATGCGAACGTCTGGTGACACGTAAAATCGCCACAAGGCTGTCGTGCAGCGCTCTCGCTTGTCTAGAGCTTTGGGTGTAGTACAAACGACCGTCATGTTTGCTGTGCTGTGACCAACGAATGTCCACAAAAAAAGAGCGACAGTAACATCCGGACCGTAACTCAAAAAGAGAAGTCGGCCGATTTGCCTGTCACAATGAACGCTGTATGCGTCATCCACACTTGCACCTGCCCACAAGAGTCGATACAGGTACCTCCCCGATTACGCGAAGATCAATTTTGGAGGTGGATTGAGAGGCCCTCCGCCGGGTAAAGGACTACAATCCCATAGGATGGAGCTGAAGACCATGTAAGTTCGCCATTACCTGAACTAAAGTGGTAGATGTTCTGTTCCAATTGTGCAGAAGTCAAAATGGCAAGAGGTACACATTGAGCAAGTCCGGCTTAGCTTCGTTACCTCGACTGGTAAAAGACCTTTCGATCAAAGCAGCCATAACTAAGATTAAAATAAGAACGAGCCAGAATTCTGCGATGAATGTTTTGATTGATGAACGCCTACTAACCCACACACCCGGGTATAAGTTTTTCCAAATGCTAACAAACCAGAACGCCTAATATATGCATGCAAGGGGTATCGCCCAATTCCAATCCCGAAACGCTCAAATGCAAATCATCAACTAACTTCCCAGCCTTCATGACCATGCAATCGTCATCATCATCATGTTTGTCTGTTCGTTTGCGCAAGTGGCCTGCCACCAGAAAGCGCAGTACGCATGCAATAGAAAGAAAGCGCTGAATACAGAAAGGAAACAAATGTCATGCCTATGATTGCACCTTTCACAGTCCCCTGAACTTGGCACCGTTTTTGTGATAGATGCTGTGCATTGCACGAGGAGTAATTGCAGAAGCAGCAGGTTGAGTTGAAGCTGACTGTGTAACAGTTACCATGACGGTGTTGGTAACAGTGACGACAGAATCGGGGTTCGTCAATGATGTAGGAGCTGCTCCAGAACGCCCACTGAGAGTCGGGATATCAGTAGGAACTGGCAAAGTGTAGTTGAGGAATGGAGCTCCGCTGCTGATAGAAGGAACAATACTGCTGACAGCTGGAGCGCCACCGGTTGGCAAGGGCGCCGCGTCTGTAGCAGAGGGCGTAACAGCAGGTAATCCTCCGGAAAAGATGGGTCCGACTTCGCCTTGCACGACATTTGTCATGAGAGCCGTGCGAGACGCGAAGTCCGCTACAGCAAGGGTCATGGCATCTTGCTGAGGACCAAGATCGAATTTTGTCTCTGCAGCCTCAGCCATCGCGACATCTTTGGATGCGACATCGACATCGATGCATGTGCTGTAGTATTCATCCTTTCCGTTCGGATAGCTTGGATCGATCTTGCCAGAAGCTGTGTTCCATTGCCAGACCCAGTAGATAGTGTATGGCTTGCCCATCTCGGCGCTATCAGGAATCTGAACGTTCGTTTCGCAGGAGAGAGGATAGTTGCCTGGTGCCCCTTCGACAGCTTGTCCCATTGCGAAATTTGGATCGGATTTCTTGCGCTCGGTGGCGATAGGTGAGTCATTCTGCTCGTAGCAACGGCCGTCGTCGAAATTATTCATGGTGAGTAGCTTGCCGCGCTTGTCCCCGCCCTGGCCATCTTGAGTCCAGCTCAAAACCGTCACTAAATGCTCGTCCTCCTTTGGTGAAGTGGTGCCGTACACAAAAATGGTACCGCCCTTCTTGGGTTTTCCTAACTGGTTGTTGGGTAGAGAAACATGTCCATTCTCCGTATACCGCATGGCTACGAAACCACCAGGTGTGGCTTGAAGACGAGGATATTTATCCTGAGACTGCTCTTGTTTACGTTGCTTTTCGTGACATAGTAGCGTACTGTTTGTAATGAAGACGTTGCCTGGTGTTTTGTCGCCGGGAATCTCATAGTTCATCGAGGTGCCGCTATAGCCCGGATCGGTTTTCGCGACCATACCTCGCGGGTAGCCATATTCCCCAACGTATTCGCCTTTTTCGTTGACGTTGCGCAGCTGCTCAATCCAGCTGTGGCCCATGGCGACCGGGGCTGTGGCCATCGCCGCGATTATTAATGTGAGTATGCTCGGCATGTTGGGTGTAGATATTCGTTCGCAAATGCGGGATCGAGAGGTGTTGTAGTTTTGACCTGCAAAACGAGGTTGTCCTTCAAGTAGAGTTGGGAAATAGTCGCAAGGTCGGGAATCTTGTGGCGTGGTAGTGTAGTTGAAGATGTCGTGGCTCGTGGATGAAGTATTGTCAAGGTGAAGAACACTATTGACCCATATAATTGTGGAATGGCTGGCTCAGCTAACACGCTGTGAATGAGAGTACAGTGTGGAGCGACACGCGATTGATTCGTGTTCACCGGAAGAATAGCAACAAAGCTATTGTTCAGCAAAAGTGTATGAACGTTTTGGTAATAGTACCCAACACAACGTACACCTAGAAGAAAATAAAGGAATGAGAACGGAAGAGAAGAAGTCAAGACGCACACAAGCCAGGTGTGATGACAAAATGCAAAGCTCACGCGGCCATGGTCCTTTATTGAGGCAGGTGATGGTAGTGAGACAGACGCTGTTGAACGTTGTAAAATCTCCGGCCTAGAAGAGAAGAAGTGACAGGAGCCAATAGAGAAGGAGGCACACGAGGTATCGAAACACAGCGCCACTCCACGCGGCGCTGCAGTCAAGCTTGTGAGCCTGAGTTCTATGGGTGTAGGATGTGTGTTTCAACGCTGGCCGACACTGTAGCCGCCAGCCATGGCTTTCCCGTCCGGCAGCATGGCCGCGGCGTAGCGCGCACATGCTGCAGCCTCCCGTACTCTCCGGCGCGAAGATCTGCCTCTGGTACTCGGTAGTTGGTAGTTTAAGTTGCATTGCAAGGCTGCGCTAGGCTGTTCTCAGACATGCAGAGGGGCCGTTGAGTGTCAGAGGACCGTGTGCCGTTGATCTACAACACAACGACGGAAGCTAGGCATCATCTAGATCATTATGCGATCTCGCTGTAGGGTTGTGGAGACATGCTGGGAAACAACAACAGCCTGCCACTGTGATGTTTAGAGGCGCTTTCGCATCATGCACCTACCGAAGACGCGTGATGCGCGACGACCCACGTGGAGCGAGCGAAAACAACGAGAAAAGCATCGCAAGTGTGCCACAGAGTGATGCCTGAGCCACCCGACGACAGGTCAATGTGCGCTGTTGCAGCGCTTCGAGAAGGAAGGTGAACCTGCAAGCGACGGGGTGGGGTGAAAGAAGTTTGGTAGGAGGCTCCGCTTCGTTTCAGGTCAGAGCACAACCGAGCGACGATTGGTTGTTGCCCGCTACGCTAGGCTTCATACTAAGGATTGGAGATATCATCTGATTGGAGCGCATTGTTCTATCTCACGATGCCTCCCAGCTAGTCTCTTCGTACGACCAGATTGACGCCCATCCAGTCTCTATATTTGATAAGCGAGATCCCAGACACCTGGCCGACATCATGCACTTTTTTTTTCATGGCTCTCTCGGCGTGTGGGAACATGGACGACAACAAGATGAGTTATTTTCGTGAGGCTCGTTCTCACCCACACGAACACGTTTCCTATCGGTTATTCATGTTTCATCCACAAGGGAAAACTGCGGGGCGCGGAACAGCCCTGAGGCACAGCAAACGGCACAAACGGGAGCCTGGCCAGCATCCCCACCTGTCAAAACGGCTCGCAGATTACAGGAACCAAACCCGAGGCTAACCACGTCGGACGACCATAGCGGTACATCTCCTGTTGTGACTGCTCAAACCCAAAGCGCTTGGCTATGTAGGAGACAGTCAGGCACCTTCCTGGAAACCATTTTCCCAAAGTCCTTGCACCTTGAAGGCCCCTAGTCAAACACGCCTTGACAAGGAACGCTCGCTCTGGACACTCTGCTGATACGTTTACCATATTGACACACCCATGGCTGGATCATTGAGAGATGTCAAGGACGCGAGTGTTTAGTATATTTTCCCGAGGCACTACAAGAAGTTGCGCTTCAACATTGACAATTTACTACCCACACTGCAGATACACAGTTATCAAACTCCGACGGCACTTGATGGGTCAATCCTTCAGTCCAGCCGACGAAAGTGATTTCTTACTAGGCGCTAAATTACGAGCACAACTTCCGTCGCCTGACATAGTAGGCCACGTTGTCGACATGTGCCGATTTGCCCTCGTCCTCTGCATCTGTGCTCACACTTTTCACAAGGAATTCTTTTGGTTTCCAGCAAGATTGACACAACCATCGAACAGCTTCTGTCTCTGCGTTGATATGCACTCAATCACCGTCGAAGGGTAAACAATAAAGTGACAACCTTATGGAAGCATTGGAGGTTAGTATACGCTTCTTTGAGATGCTTGGAGATCAAGAAACGTGTTGGTGAAGATGTGAACAGAAGAACGACACGTACAGTGCGTGTGATCAACAACATTGTTGACGTGAAAGATCAAGAAGACCGCGAAGTCAGCGGTGATAACATCAAGCATGTTACTACACTACCGTTACGGACTATCACACATTCAAGCACTGAATGTAGCCTTTGAATTTTCTCCTTGCTTTTGAAGGCTCGTTTACAGCATAGCAATGCGCTTATCTTCTCTGTTGACTCGCTCCCATTACTCATTCACAGAGCAGTCTCCAGGCAAGCGAATATTGCCTCCTTCCTGAAATGCCACTGCCCAGCCCCAAACCAGCAAACTGTACATGCGCTGCAATCACCAACTCTTGGGCTTGCGGCTGCCACAGCTTGACTTATAAAGCTACTTGTTTAGGACCGATCGACCATCATCCACCAGTCATTGTTGGAGCAGAACTCCATTGGAAGGAAATATGTGGGGAGTGCTTGGAAAGGTCGAGTGTCGCGGAGAGTGCGTGGTGTCAGAGGCGAGGTGTATGTCCTTACCACGTGCCAGAGGGTGAGAAGTTATGATTTAGAGAGGCATTATTGAATTTTACGTAAGTCTAGGAGAAGATTTTTGAGAACCTTGGGTCATACCGACTTGGTATGCGGACGTCACTTGTTGGCCCCAAACCGATATCCGTTTCGTTATTGATTGCGACAAGTGCTGCCCAGCACGTGTGGAGACTAGCACGCCTTGGTCATACATTGTACCTTTTTCAATGGCTATCGTTCTCCTTGGTCAGACCACTATTTAAATCCCAACATATCTTGGTGTTGTTACAACCACAGCCAGGGGCATCGCGCCAATTGCCAAGTGCGTCTTTCATACAAATTCGTGCCACGAGACACTTAGTCACCAAGGGAAGCCTTTCCAAAGATGCAGGCTTGATACAAACTCCATGGTACTCTTTAATCTCACGGGTATGGTCTACCTCACTTCACTGGTAAAGCGCTTCGTAGAACTCAGCGGGATGGCGACATCTTCGACCCAGCAATCAACTATTGGTGATATTGTTGTACCACCTGAGCAAGATATTCCTTCTTCAAACTACTGACCGACTTCCTGTTCCGGCACTCAGTGCCATTGTTCAACGGGATACTGTTCTGATCATTCGTGAGGTGCGTTAAAGGGGCCTGAAGGTGACAGGAGTATGATCTTGAATTGCACCATGACTTCGAATGTCAGCGACAGTAGACGGGTTAGGAAACAAATTGTAAGTAGCTAGTAGACTGATGAGTGACCATGATCTATAACGCCATCGCGAGTAGCTGAGTAATTTGGACGCTGCAGGCGTTGCCACAGCGAATGCAACATCATTCTGGGTTGGAAGAGACGATGATCAAGAAAGTGAGTGAAGGTGGCGCTTCTCGAGGATTCCTTGGCATTCGCCTAGCTTTGTCAGCTAACCACGTGCACTAGCCTCCGCGACAATCTGCCTAGCAGAGAGCTTCGCGCATCGCGACTTTTCCAGCCCGCGCGCGACAACCTCACCACGCCATCGCCGTTTGCCCTCGACACAATCGAAGCGCTCTTACATCGACACCTTCAACACCTCCATCACCTCCAACACTCTCTTGAATAACCGCAATCATGGCCAACTACCTCGCATCCATCTTCGGTACCGAGCAGGACAAGGTCAATTGCTCCTTCTACTACAAGATTGGCGCCTGCCGTCACGGCGACCGCTGCTCCAGGAAACACGTCAAGCCGTCGTACTCGCAGACTATCCTGCTGCCCAACCTCTACCAGAACCCTGCGTACGACCCCAAGAACAAGATGAACCCGCAGCAGATGCAGATGCACTTTGATGCATTCTACGAGGACATCTGGTGCGAGCTGTGCCAGTATGGACTTGTTGAGGAGTTGGTTGTTTGCGATAACAACAATGACCGTACGAACCCCCCTTCTCTTATTTCGCTGCTTCAGAGTTGAACAGTTTGCTAACGTAACCTTTCTGACAGATCTCATCGGCAATGTCTATGTCCGATTCAAGTACGAAGAAGACGCGCAAAAAGCCTGCGACGCCCTCAACTCGCGCTGGTATGCTGGTCGTCCCATCTACTGCGAACTCTCTCCCGTGACCGATTTCCGCGAAGCCTGTTGTCGTCTGAACAGTGGCGAAGGCTGCGTCCGCGGCGGCTTCTGCAACTTTATTCATCGCAAGGAACCAACGGCTGAGCTGGACAGGGAGCTGGACATGTGCACGCGCAAGTGGTTGAAGGAGCGTGGCAGGGACGCGAGGAGTATGTCAAGGAGTCCTACACCGCCTGCGACGAAGAACAGGTTCTAGGGTGGATATGGAGTGGGAAGCGTGAGACACGGGCTGAATACGAAGGGCGTTTTGGTGTTATACATGCTCGCACAGTTTGGGACATGTTGGTTGATACCTCGATATCCGTAGCGGGCATGGCGTTGCAAATTGGCATTTGTAAATTAGCTTTGGTAAAATAGTGAAGTGTGGATAATAGGCTAGACTAGGCTACGCAAAAGCGATCATGTCAGTTCATTCTAGTTTATTCGTGTGCTCAGACTATCCCGTGAGTTGCGTAACAATGATGTGATTTTGTCAAGGAAAGAAGCAGACATTGCATTGTGGTCATGTAAGACCTGGTATCATCTAGAATATAAACAGAAGAAAAGGAAAACAATCCATGCATCGCTGATGCAGGTCGGTACCCAAACACCAGCCCGCGTCCTATAGAAAAGACATCAAACGCCGCCTATACACAACATGCCCAAACAACCATATATACATCCATCTCATACGTCCTGATCTTCCTCATGTGATTCGCTCAGATGATATTGTGCGCTTTCAAGACCAGCACAGTGACTACAACGCCTGCAACCAGCAGCAGAAAGATCATCCAGAAACACCAGCAGATCCATGTTCGTTGCTTGGCTTTGCGTTGCTGCTTGGCGAGCCATGAATCTCTATGTGACGCGTCAGCCGTGATGGTCGTCACGAAGTTGAAGCGTGATTGCGGACGGCCGGATAGGCTGAGGGAAAGTGTAGAGAGGTTGGGGGTGCGGAAGAAGGAGCGTGACGGTGATGCAGGAAGGGGGGACAGTGGTCTTTGTGGTGGGACAAGGTCATCCCCATCTCTGTCCGAGGGATTCTCTTGGACAGAGACGGTCGGTCGCAATAGTGGTTTGGTCGAATTCGTCTTTTGGAGTTTGGTCCGGGAGCGTTGTTTTTTCTCCCGCGGTATCTGGCTTGCAGATGCTTCTCTCGAAGACGGGGATAGAGGCGATGAAACAAAGGACGACCGTACGGACGAGAGTTGGACCATGGGCAGAAAAGCAGGGCTTAGGTGTGATTGGGAAGTGGGGGATCCGAGGGGCGAGTGCGAAGGGGAAGACAGGGAACTTTGGACGTACGGTTGCTTGGGGTCCTGAATTGTCTTTTCAAGGTCGTCTTGGTGTACCGCCACGCTGAAGCGTTTCCAGAATTGAGGATCGCGCACCATGTTGATTGATGTTATGAATGGAGTTGAGGGGAGAGCGTATTGAGGTAGCGACGGTATGTAAGCGATGGCAAGCTGCTAACGTCGTTCTGCGTTGAGCGTGTACGTAGGTGGAGACAGTGGTGGATTGTAGTCGGGGAGCGATGGATTTAGGTTGTAAAAGATTGTGGTGACGAGAATTATTGGGCGAGAGTGGTGTAGGCGAGCAAGGTAGTAGACGTAATCGTCTGTATTATCATATACAGAACCGTCTAGTAACACGAGGGTATGACGACGGATATAGGCGTGTCGCACAGCAACAGGCGAGATTTGGTGTGGGTATGTAGATTGGAAAGGGTCCAGTGAGCCAGGAAACCGCCGCGTGTAAGGAATGACACGACTGACACGACGTAAACCTTAAGTCGGAATAGTGATCGACGATGGTTTGCGATCCGAGTGAAGCTGAAATGACGTAGTAGAGAAAGAAGCGACGATAGTAGGATGGAGCGATCGTTTGCACAGGTGTAGCGCTTCAAGGCACAGTCGTGAATGGAAGTAGTCATGAATGAAAAGAGGAAACTACCATACTTAACACTGCACGCCTATACAGGCCCCTAAAACAACAGGCGATGGGCCTCGGACCCATGCGATGTAACACTATTTGCCTAGACTCGACGTCCAGGTGTCAAAGCAGGATGTTGATATTATCGTGAGAAGAGGGGCAACCACAGTGATGGTTCTCGTTGGTTTCGAGGTTCGGGGTGGGCCTCACAAACTGGTCAAAGCTGGCCAATGGGCAGCTTCGAGGCTGTTTGGACCCCTGCCGGCCATCACGCTGGACACATGGCGCCGATGGCGGTAAGGCGCGGGAAATTGGAGAGAAGGTAGCTGAGACGAGGGACCCATGTGCGATTGGTAAGGCCATGCGGCTGTTTGATTGCCGTGCAGTGCGGCTCTGGTGTTGAACAAGTATACGGCAGTTGTGTTGGCTGCAGCATCCTGCATCTTGGGTTTTCTGCATCGCACCCTTCGCAAGACACTTGAAGACGCACAGAGCTGCTACCGATTCTCATCATCAGCATGGGGGTGCTCTTCCTCATCGAGGCGGCATGCCACGTTGAAACAAGACGCTATACGCAAAACATGGCTTGACAACGGCCTTGCGCAAGCTTCAGCGCGGTCCCACCCGCCGTTTCTGTCGTTCAACATTCCCTAGGGCTCACCGCTAGGGTTCCCCTAGACTGCTGCACCGGCATCCTTGCAGTGCAATCCCAAACCCTGCCAACACAATCTTGTACCACTACGCAGTTGTTTACTTTCGACTGCTCACTATTTTCCGGAATTAGCAGCAGCAAGGATGCCACACGAGGAGTTGCCTTTCTGGCTAGTCAATGTTCCCAGAGATCAATGGCCGAGCGAGTGCCCGGACTTCTTGAGAGGTATTAGTGAGAAGGATAAAGGGATCATTGGGACGCCTGACGAACACTACAAGGTGTTGACATGGGACCAAGTGCGGGACATTGTAGGTGAGATAGAGGCGCGACGCGCGATAAGCGAAACGCTGATGTTCGTGGTCAGAGAGCAACCGGGTCGACAAGTTTCATCGCATGCCAAGTGAGTTGAGGCGGTATCGGCAGTTCACCCATCGGCTGGAGAGGGATTACGGCAGCATCATGAACTTCATTGTTAATGAGCGGTTGAAGTGGGGAAGTATGGAGCCGAAGGGCAAGCCGTTCGAATTCGATGGTATGTGCACCTGTGTTACGTTGACTTGCATCCATGTTTACCGACCTATAGAAGACATCAAGATACTATATAACGACTGGCCATATGGCATCGATGCAGACGTTGTGCACCTCGTCGTGTGGACCAAGTTTGAACTGGACGACGACCCCGACACTGGGCTCTCTACCGCAGAATCCCAGAAACAAATCGGTGATTACGTACAAAAGACGTTTGCTCCAAAGGTAAAAGAGTTGGTCTGGTTCAAGAATTGGAAGAGTCTGAAGAGCGTGCATGCAGTGGAACACTTCCACGTCATGTTGTACAGGCCGGACGCTGTGTTCCTAAGGGAGATTACGAACGGCGATGTCCCGATGACTGAGAAGTTCGCCTAGCAAGGAAGGCTGACGGGGCATTTCGGCTCTAGTACAGTCGAGAAGGGGGATAAAAACATGCCGAGTGCTCTCCATCGTGTTTCCCACGCTCTTGACTGTACGAGAGATTTGAGAAGGCAACGGGGCATTTTGGCCTGCCGACGGGATATTATGCATGGATGACGGGATATTCTAGATGCAAGTCTGCGATCGTATTGCTTAGATATGTTATAGACATGGGGTATTTGTTAGAGTAACAGCCGCCGAACATTCATAGAGGTGCATTATCTGCTATCGATATCATCCAGGCTTTGGGATTAATCAATTTTCTCAGCCTTGTTCTGCACCTGGGGGCGCAAGGCGACACCGATGCTGATCCAGTTCCCCTGAAGATCATCCGGTTGTTGTTGGGATTGATTGGAGCGGCGCGCAAACCGGGTTGAAGGCCAGCCCTCTGCAATTTTGACAGGCGCGTCATTTGCTGTGGCGTACGTGGCGCGTGGCGTGTGGCGCAAACTCGAAGTGCATAACTAATGCATCGCCAGAACAACAAGCCTAGGATATTTTGAACCAAGTACGCTGAGCTGGTCACGCAGACTAGCTGTCAAAGACGACTAGGCGCATACGTTCTGCAGGACCCTTCTGTTATCTTATCGTCTATCGTCGAATAGAGACGTCTTGCCTGGGCCGGGATACAAAGCGGTGAGGGTGCTGTCTGGCCTAGCGTTGACAAAAAAGTCGCGGGACGGCAAGGGGCCTTCCTCCACATTTGAGTCGGCACCGAGTGTGTCTTGTGCACCAGCCTCTACTCCCCCTCCTTATTTTTCTTCGAGAGCGGCGCGTTTACGTGTGCTGCGACGCCAATTGCGGGATTCCGGTATCGCTCAGTCTCCATAATTGGAGACTTGACCGTGTCTTGGTACCACGACCGACCACGGAGCATCAGCGAGGTATGGCGGCGCTAGAAGGAATATCCGGCAGCGACAGTACTGACATGGTGAAAGGTCTTTTCTTGTAGTCACTCGCCCTCGCCATTCGCACCCCATCCCACTACCCGCTGCGCACAGCCACGCTTCCGCGTCATCCCATGCGAGCGGCTCTCTAGACGGCCCTGCAACACTTCCCACTGAATCAACTTCAGTGGTGACCTATCCACCATGCTCGGCTACCTCACCAGCCGCTGGCAGTCGACGGGCGAGCAGAAGAAGACCAGTCCCACCTGGTTCGACCGCCACTTCTCGCCCATCCTTCTCTCCGTCGCGAAGAAGGCATGCACCCACCCAATCCACACCATCGTCACCATTGCCTTCCTGGCTAGCTACTCATACTTGGGCGTTCTCGACAGGGGCCTACTGGAAAGTGGCATTGAAGAGGTCTCTAGCCGCGTCGACTTCCACTCCCTTTTGGCCGGCAGCAAGACGCTCAGAGTAGGAGAGGAGACATCATGGCAGTGGGAGGCTGAAGAGCCCAAGACTACCGTTTACAAGGACAAGGTAGGCAGCTCCGCCAACTCCAAGACATCTGGCTAACAAAACAGACTGCCCAGGAGCTCGCTCTGGTCACTCTCGTCTTCCCCGAATCGAGCACCATCAACTCTGCTCCCTCGCAACAATCTGTCCCCAGCAATGTCTCTGCCAAGCTCCTCCCAAGCTCCTCCAGCTCCTTCTCCACTTTCTCGCACGACACTTCGCTCGCATTCTCTATCCCGTACACTGAAGCTGCCGATTTCCTCCAGGCTATGCAGGAGATTTCTGCGCCAGAGGACGCTGCTCAGTCGCAGGGCTCTGAGAAAGAGGGCACGCGCGAAGACAAGAAGTGGATGATGAAGGCCTCCAAGAACGGCAGTGCGCCAGGCGGCGTGCGCAACTGGATTATTGAGTCGTGGACGTCTTTCGTCGATCTCCTCAAGGTATTTTGTCTGTGGACACAAACGTGAACTTGGCTAAGACCAGCACAGAACGCTGACACTGGCGACATCGTCATCATGGCCCTGGGTTACCTCGCCATGCACCTGACTTTCGTCTCTCTCTTCCTCGCCATGAGGCGACTTGGATCCAACTTCTGGCTGGCTACTGCAGTCCTCCTGCAGTCGGCCTTTGCTTTCCTCTTTGGTCTCGCCGTGACAACCTACCTCGGTGTTCCTATCAACTTGATTCTGCTCTCAGAGGGTCTTCCTTTCTTGGTGGTCATCATTGGGTTTGAGAAGCCCATCGTTCTGACCAAGGCTGTCCTTTCTGCCTCTCTGGATGGCCGACGAGCAGCTGAGGAGAAGCGGGGTGAGCCTTTGACCATCCAGTCATCTGTACAGACAGCCATTAAGCGGACTGGTTTCGAAATTGTCCGCGACTACTTTTTCGAGATCTTGATCCTTGTCGCTGGCGCCATGTCTGGCATCCAGGGTGGTCTGCGACAGTTTTGCTTCCTTGGCGCCTGGATCCTTTTCTTTGACGCCATTATGCTGCTCACTTTCTACACTGCTATCCTTACCATCAAGCTTGAAATCAACCGGATTAAGCGCCATGTGGCTCTCCGCAGGGCTCTTGAGGATGACGGTGTCGATGGCAAGGTTGCTGAGAACGTCGCTCGCAACAACGACTGGCCCAACGCTCGTGATGTGCAAGTTGTCAACCACACAACAACTGTTTTCGGAAAGAAGATCACGGTGCCAAAGTTCAAGATTCTCATGGTTGCTGGATTCATCCTCGTCAATGTCCTCAACGTAGTTACTCTCCGATTTGGCCTCTCTCCTAGCAAGGTCTCTCACGTTTCGGGCGTAGGTGCCACCCCTCCGCTGGACCCCTTCAAGGTCGCTGGAAATGGATTGGACCACATCTACGAGCATGCCAAGAGCACCGCTACGTCAACTATTGTCACCATTCTTATGCCGATCAAGTATGAGCTTGAGTTCCCTTCTATTCACTACGCCGAGCCTTCGATTACAGACAACGAGTTTGCTTTCGGAAGCAACATCAGCACTCACATAGTTGATGGTGTACTGAAGAGTCTGGAGGACCCTTTCCTTAGCAAATGGATCGTCCTTGCCCTTGTAATGAGCGTGGTCTTGAACGGCTATCTCTTTAATGCCGCTCGCTGGACCATCAAAGAACCCCACCAGCCACTCGCGCCACCTTCTCCCTCTGAAGTCCAGGATGGGGCTCCTACTGTGCCAGGCACTCCTCGCGTACCTTCGATGCATATGCCTACACCACCTCGCACCCCCGGCCCTGAGGATCAGAATGGTCGCCTTCAGCCCCTTACGCAGATCGCAACACGAACACCGGAGATACCAGTCGGACCCTCTGAAGAACAGCAAAGACAGCCAAACCGTCCCTTTGAAGTTCTCGACCTGATGATCAAGGAAAAGCAAGCACCCAAGATGACTGACGAGGAGCTTATCGAGATGTCACTCAAGGGAAAGATTCCTGGTTATGCTCTAGAAAAGACGCTTGGTGACAAGACTCGTGCCGTCAAGATTCGTCGTGGTCTAGTCTCACGTACCCACGCTACACGGGAAACTTCAACACTACTGGAACGTTCGCTGCTACCTTACAAGGACTACAACTACGATCTTGTTCATGGCGCATGCTGTGAAAACGTCGTCGGCTACCTCCCTCTCCCCCTCGGTGTCGCTGGACCTATCCTCGTCGACGGCCAAAACTACTTCCTCCCCATGGCAACCACCGAGGGTGTACTTGTCGCTTCAACTTCTCGAGGTGCTAAGGCTATCAACGCAGGTGGCGGTGCTGTTACTGTTGTGACTGGCGACGGTATGACCCGCGGACCCTGCATTGGGTTCGATAGCCTTGTACGTGCTGGTGCTGCGAAGAACTGGCTTGACTCGGAGGAAGGCCAGAGGACGATGAAAGACGCATTCAACTCCACTTCTCGCTTCGCCAGGCTCCAATCTATGAAGTCTGCCATCGCTGGTACCAACATCTACGTTCGTTTCAGGGCCACCACTGGTGATGCCATGGGTATGAACATGATTTCCAAGGGTGTCGAGCATGCTCTCACCGTCATGGCAACCGACTGCGGCTTCGAGGACATGCGTGTAGTGACCGTATCGGGTAACTATTGTACTGACAAGAAGTCCGCCGCTATCAACTGGATCGACGGTCGTGGCAAGGGTGTTGTTGCCGAAGCTATGATTCCCGGCTCTGTCGTCAAGTCAGTCCTCAAGTGTGAGGTCGAAGATTTGGTACAGATGAACATTTCCAAGAACTTTATCGGATCTGCAATGGCTGGTGCTATGGGTGGATTCAACGCCCACGCGGCGAACATCGTTGCTGCTATCTTCTTGGCCACCGGACAGGATCCAGCACAGGTCGTTGAAAGTGCCAACTGTATCACCATTATGCATAAGTAAGTCGCTCCTTTCATGAGATACGACAAGGCCACAACCTAACGAAGAATAGCGTCAACGGCAACCTTCAAATCTCCGTCTCTATGCCTTCAATTGAAGTCGGCACAATTGGTGGCGGTACCATTCTCGAACCTCAATCCGCCATGTTGGACCTCCTCGGCGTACGAGGTGCCCACCCAACATCACCTGGTGACAACGCTAGGCAACTGGCTCGTGTCATCGCTGCTGGTGTATTGGCTGGTGAATTGTCGCTCAACAGCGCACTGTGTGCGGGTCATCTTGTCAAGGCGCATATGGCACACAACAGGAGTAATGTCCCATCTCGCGCCCCTACACCCGCGCCTGCAACACCAGTTACAGGAGCTCAGACACCTGTGACCGGCGGTGGACCTTTATCAGCACTGAGCTCTGGTCCTGCACCAAGACGGTAAAGATCCAGGGAGTGGTCAGGTTTGGCGTAAAAGGTTGTCCTTGGGGTTGTAAATACGAGGGACGATACCTGGTTTTGTATTTGCACATTTCAGGTTAATCTGGGTTAAGAGGAATAAGGAACGGAACGGGGATCTATATACATACATTCGCAAGAATATGTTTTGTCATTGTGGCAGAATTACTATAACATTAATTCATTCTTGATAAGCTTAAAAGTATTGCCTTT